AAAGAACAAAGATATTTTAAAGACATATTAAAGGCTTAAGCTATATTCTTGGTACAGAATTTTGGATGCTATTGTAAACTCTGGAGAATTCAATATGGAAGGCTTACGGATTCTGTGTAGAAGGAATGAAGACAGTCAGTGGCTATCAAGCTACTAACCACTCCCCAGGCAGCATTTCCAGTTGAATCGCCCTGATGTCAAAGCACTAGGTGACCCAGGATGACCTTCAGAGGGAAGTCTCTACTTCCTCTTGTGCTTTGTCCCTCCTCCTTCTGTTGGTGTTTGAGCTTGATAAAAAGGAAAAGAATTTGGGGCTTCTCTTCTTAACTGTGTCAACAAATTCCAAAAGCCATCTTCAACTAGAAATAAAGCTTGAGAAAGCACAACCCTAGCCTAAATCACTTGGGTAACTTGTTTTCTGGAAATGATAGAAAGTCTGAAATCCCATTCATTTTTTCCTATTTCTTCCTCCAGCTCTTTACTTAGTTTCGGCTGGGAAACTAGTCATTTTCAGTTCTGATCCCGAGGCCCCATTCCTCCACAACTGAGTTTAAGTTCCCAGCTCTGTGGGAGGATATAAAATTATTTTTGCTATTATAACTTGGGCTGAATTTTTTTTTATAAATGTGAACATTCATTCTGAGCAATAAAAGACTCAAATTCACAAATACAAGGAGTGACCTTGCACAAACAATCATGATGCTGGATCTTATACAACCCATCTGGATATTTTAAGAGCAGAGCAGACCAAGAGTGTTCATGTAAAAGGTTAGAGAACTAGGTTAAAGAAAAAAGTCTCCTTCTCATCAGTGTGACTCATCCACCCTCCCTGGGATCAGCAAAATGACTCAGACTTTCAAGTAGGTGACAATGCTTATAGAAAAATATGACCTAGCGGTTTTCATCAGGACTTCTCAGTTGGCTGGTTGTCACTCTTTTGATTCTCCTGTCCCTGAGGAATTTTGGGTATTTTGGTAGGGTATTTTGGGCCTTTTCACAGAATGGTCCAAAGGACCCTGCTGACAGTTCACAAGTAACCCTCTGAATGTCTAGATTCCAACCTTAACACTCAAAGGCTATAGAAAGAATTGAAGGAAATTTGTGATTAAACTCCCGGGAGAAATCAAGCCCCAAGGCCATATGCACAAGCCCACAGGGTCTGCTTGGAGCTGACCTTACTCAGATCCAGAATCAGTGTCAGTCTTAAGCCAAGGTCGGCTCTAAGTGCACAGCCAAATTCCCAGGCTCTGTGGCTGTGCCCTTTGCCTCTGTTTCGTCTATCTGGAGGCAAGAGGCTTTGGTTTGCAGAAAGGGGCCACCAGGAGGCTGGGATTTCATATCAGCTTTGCTCAGGCCAGCTGGGTCACTTTAGCCTGATTTCTTTTTGGTTCATGTTCTTCATCAGCTGAATGGGGATGATCCTATCAGTCTCCTTTGGTGGGTTCTAGTCAGAAACAGTAAGATAATGTGCTTGGAGCCTTTGGAATGTTATGGAACACAAAGGCACTCAGAATTTCAGCTATTTATGGTATTGAAGAGAGCCCTGGCTATTAGGTAGGTGGATGGCTTTCAGGCAATTTCTGCATCTACACGAGGGAGCTCAGGTGGCTTATAGGTGGAAGAAAACAACACCGGGATTAGATTTGGTGGACATACACGTGCCCATGATAACTTCCCTAAAAATGGCAATTTGGCCGAGGCTCAAGTTGGTATGCTTTGGCTGCACTTGAAAGCTTGGAGTTTTCTCAGTTCCCACTACGAGCTCAGGCAGATCCAATCCTTGGGTTCTCTCTCTCTCTCACTCTCTCTCTCCCTTTCAGCCACAGCCCTGTCATCTATCCAAGGACAAATCCTAGCTCTGTCTCTCACTGGCCAGATGTAAGGAAAGTGTCACTCCTGTCAAATTGGGCCCCATTTTGCTGTACTTAATGCTGGTTAGGCACATCCAAACGGAGCACAGTTTTGAAGCCAAAGATCTCAAAGAGTAAATCTTTGCAGAAGGGCCTTTGTAAAGGGACAGCGAGGGGGATAAATAAAGGCATGCTCCCCACATTAAATCTTTATGAAAATGCTTCTTACCCTTATATTGCACCTCATCCTTGTGCCGCTGACTTCTCCCCAACCCAAGCCACTTCTCTCTCTCGTATCACTGCCCACCTACCCATCTCTATCATGTGAGACACTCTCATTCCCCTGGGGATTCTCCTATCTGCATACTACCTATTACCGAGGCAAAGAAATGGCATCAGCAGAGATTTGCCTGGTGGTGGTGGTGGAGGGGACTGAGGTCTGGGGATGTTGGGAGGAGGTCTTTGATTTACCGGTCATGGACAACTCTGTCACCTCCACTCTCCACTCCACTTCTGATGGACCTGGTGGCAAGGTGACTTCATTATTTGCTCTGTGGATCAGAACACAGAGATGTCAGGCCCTGGCAGAAAGTTTGACATGGGCAGAGTTTGACATGTGGGCCCAGGACCACAACCTGCAGCCTCCCAGCTACGCACCCTCTTCCCGACTCCACCATTCTGTAAACCGTCTACAGTGAGGATCCCGAGGACCAGGGGACAGGTTCACCTGGCACTTAAAGTTAGATGCAGGAGCTGCTTCTTCTTGTCAACCAGCACAAAACCCTACACTAATCACACTTGACACTGGGTGATACTTTCCAATTGGATGCAGTTTAGAATTCTTAAAGCATTTTTATAGACACACTTTCTTTGATCCTCCGACAGGTCTGTGAGGTAGTCCCATCTTTCAACCATTCAACAAATACTTGCTGAAAGCTGTGTTGAGGGTGACTGAGGGGACATAAGGCTTTTACTTTTAAAACCAGGACAGTCTCAGGCAAATTGGGACAAGCTGACCATTCTAGGCCTCGGGCCTGCCCCTGCCCCCCACCCCCCAGGATGAACAGGACAGAAACAGCACCAGCACCCATGGTGTCTACATGCTGGTTATTTTCATGCTTTTGATATTCTGCTGGATATGGAACTGGGTTGATGCAACCTGAAGTTCCGAAATGTTAAATTATCTTCATTCTTTAGATTTCCGTCTCATTCATTAGTCCCAGAGCTAGACCCTGCATAGGAAAAGACAGGGAGGTAAATTATGTGTCATCTGGCTTTTAAAGAGCTTATGACCTAGTGCCGGTGGGGGTGCAGGGACATTAGGAAAACAATGACCTGTGGAGTTTTGGGTCAACTCTTTAAGGTCTGCTGCCCCACTCTTGTTTTTTTTGTTTGTTTGTTTGTTTTTTGCCTCCTCTTTTGATTCCTCTGCTGCCTCCTGCCCATACCCCCAGGCATCATCTACCTCCTCTGACATTTCTCCCTCCTATCATGGTCTGATCCTCTCCCACGTCTTCAATGATTACCTCCATGTGGATGCCGTTTATTAAGATTGAGATTAAAATAACAAAACTGCTTAACCGCCTATTGTGTCCTTTTGGTGAGAAACACTCTGATATCAAATAGACCTCCCAAGAAATCCCTCCTGGGGGAGATGATATGCCGACCAAGAGATAAGAGTTTCTGTCCGATTGTCAAGAACGTCATTTGATTGCTTTTCTGGGACACAAGAGCTTAGGGCAAATTTGGGCGGCAGGAGGCAGATTCTTTTGTGTCACAAAGCTCCCTCTAAAAGGCAACCACTTTTCCTACACTTTTCAGAACAACCAGGAACCTTGCTAATTGAATAGTGTCCCATTATGTGACCAGATCATGCATTTCCAGGAAGGACAGAGTAATCCAATTTGTGTTGAAATGTCAGCCCAAGCTGCAGATACTCTTTTGGTATGAGCTGTAGCATTTTCTTTGGCTGTTGTCAACAGTGTGGTTGCTTAACTCTGAAAGCTATCTACGGCATTTGGCATGGATCCTCATCTTCTTGAAGAAGAATGACTCTCAGCTCATTGTTTTTCTGAGGAGTCATGTTTTCTGGTTTTCTCTGGCATAATGGACTGGGTGTTTTGAGGGGGTGGATTAATCTCTCCCTAAACTACATGAAAAGCCTTGTAGAAAGAATGATTGTTGTCACCCTTTATTTAGGGTGTGGTTGTCATCCTGTATAAAACTGTGTCCAGTTGTTTTGACTCTTTATTCATTCATTCTTCCACAAACATCCATGGAGCGCTTTCTATGCGCCAGACATCCTTTTGGGTGCTGGGAAGACAGCAGAGAACAAGTCATTCTGACGAGGTGACATCCAAGTTGAGATCCAAGTGATACAAAGGAGCCAGACATGCAAAGATCTGGGTGCAGAATGTTCCAGGCAGAGGGAATAGCAAGGGCAGGCCCCAAAGGAGAGAAAAAGCTTGGTTGGTTTGAGTCAAAAAGAAGGACAGTGTGGCTGGAACAGAGTAAGCATGGGGAGACAAGGTATGTGATGATGAGGTCCAGAGCAGTGGACAGGAGCTGGATGACATTGGGACTGCGGATTTTATTCTAAGGGCAGTGACAAGGCACTGGAGGATTTTCAAGTAGGGAGAATGAAGGGTCTGGTCTGATTTTTAAAGGAGTATTCTGGGTGTTCTGTGGGAGAATGGGTTGGAGGGGAGCAAGAATGGATCAATCAAGAAAAATACTGCAAAATTCCAGGTGAGAAACAATGGTGGTTTGGAACAGAGTAGCGGCAGTGGAGTGGGAGAACTGGTGATAGATTCAAGACATATTTGGGCGATAGCACCTGCTGATGGATTGGATTTGGGGTGTGCAGGTAGGAGAAAGGGCAAAAGAAAAATCAAGAATGAGTCCTAGGCTTCCGGCTTGAGCAAAAGGGAGGATGGCGACACCATTAACAGAGATTTGGGGAAGGAATCTTTAAGTTGGATCGAGTCTCCAGGCACTGCTTCCACCTTCAGTATGCTGCTTTTCTTGAGCCAGTGATACATGATCCTTTTGGTTTCATGTTCTATCAACATGAGAATAAATTTCTAGTAAACTACAAGAAGCAGTGAATTGAGACTCAGAAATGATTTCCTTACCAGGAAGACAGGAAGACCAAGAAAAAAAAAAATACTGAGCATCTATTGCATATAGAATGAACAGAAAATTGCCCAAGATGTCATTTTTGAAGAACTGTTTTAATTTTGTTATCTCTGACAGTAAAAACAGTGATGATACCCAGTATTCAGTGCGTGTGTGCCGTCAGGAATGGCTCAAAGTGCTTTATATAGATTATTTCATTTAGTCTTTTCATGACCTAGGAAGTAAAAGAAATTTTACCCACTTTTAGATGACAAAATTGAAGCTTAGAGAGGTAAAGTAACTGTTCAAGGTTCCACAGCAAGGATGTAGCAGAGCCCAGATTGAAACCCAGGTTTCTGATCCCTGGCCTGTGCCCCTAAGCACCCCACATCCAGTTCCCCTTGGACTATTGGCTGAGATCCCTTGCCTAGCCTCAAGGCTGGGATAAAGGTGTTGTCACAGCTGGATGGACATCCAACTATAGGCAGTTGGGTGCCTCTACATCATGTTGACAGTTTACGGTGGTGATTACACTCCATCTCTCATGAGCAGAACATACTATGGGTGTTATAGGGACAAGGAGAATTCACTATGGACTGAGGCTGCTGGGAAGGCCTTTTGTTGGAAATGGGCTAGACCCTCCCACCCCAGGAGAGAATTTGGAAATGTTTGGAGGCATTTTTGCTTGACCCAGGGACTGACATTTAGAGTGTGTGTCTGTGGGGAGAGGGAGCAGAAATGTTGAGGACCTTGGCATGCATAGATGAACTGTCCCACCCCAAATGCCAAGAGCACCATTGAGACCCTGGGCCCTTGGGTGAGTCTCTGAACTTTAGATACTGTGTGGGGGCATTTCTCTTCTTCAAAGAGGCCAGAAAATCTTGATGGTTGTTGGCTGTGCAAACAGAGCCCTGATTTAGGACTTGGACTGACGACCTACCTCTGCCTTCAGAGATCTTATAAAACCTTGGACAAACTGAGGTAAGTTTGGGGTGTCTGGTGGGGCTGAGGTATATGCTCCCTTTTTCTCCACTTTTTTTTTTTTTTTTTTTTTGGCCGGTAAGACGAGTACTTAACTGGGAAGCTACAGCTGGTATAACTGGAATTACAATCCACTTGAGAGTCCTTAATGAAGAATATCTGATTATACAAGGAAACTAGAATCTGTTTGTTTTCTGTTCATTTAATTTGATGTTTTAATGATGCTGCTAGTTATTTGAAATATTCTATTTCAATACACCCTTTATTTATTGTACTTGTACCCTAAGGCATGCTGGCAAAGAGTGACATGTTTAAAAGTCTGCCCTCAAATAATAAATTTCCCTTGGAAACCAGAAGCAGGAAAGTTTTATATTAGGAATGCTTTAGAATATTTTTAAAAAATCAGTCCAAATTGGATTTCAGAGATAAATATAGGAGGACTTAAAAAAAACTAACTTAATTTTTAGGTGGTTTTTAAAATATAAAAACCTACTAGAAATAGAGTAATGTTGTGGGTCAGATAAATGGAGATGGTGGACTTCAGTTCCAGTTGTTGGGAAGTAGAAAATTAATAAATAAGTGTCTTTGAAGGCACGGCATAACTGGTTTTATCCCTCTCCTTCCCATTTTTAGTTCAAATCAGTTGGGACTATTTGTGTATTTGTTTACCTCCTTATAGGCTCTCTCCCACTCTGAGTTGCAAGCTCTCCAAGCACAAGAACTTTATCTGTTCATCCCGTCCTAGCACTCAAAGTCTGGCACACTGTAGTTGTTCAGTAAATGTTTGCTCAGTGTGGCAGGCTGAATAATGGGCCCTGAAATGTCCAAGTCCAAATCCCCAGAATCTGTGGATATGTTATGTTACATGGCAAAGGGGAATTGAAGTCCCAGATGGAATTAAGTTTGCTAATCAGCTGATCTTAAAGGAGATTACCCTGAGCTATCTGGGTGGGCCCAATGTAATCATAAATGTTCTTTTTTTTTTTTTTTTAAGATTTTATTTATTTATTTGACAGAGAGAGAGACAGCAAGAGAGGGAACACAAGCAGGGGGAGTGGGAGAGGGAGAAGCAGGCTTCCTGCGGAGCAGGGAGCCCGATGTGGGGCTCGATCCCAGGACCCTGGGATCATGACCTGAGCCGAAGGCAGACGCTTAACGACTGAGCCACCCAGGCGCCCCAATCATAAATGTTCTTAAAAGTGGAAGAGGAAGGCAGAGGAGGTCCTCTCCTCCAATGTGGTATGAGAAGAACTCAATCCTTTTTTGTTGGTTTTGAGGATGGAGGAAGAGGGTTGCAGGCCAAGGAATGTGGGCAGTCTCTGGAAGTTGAAAAAGGCAAGGAAATGGATTCTTCCCTAGAGCTCCCAGAGAAGAACTCAGTCCTGCCAACATCTTGATCTTAACCCATGAGACCCGTGTTGAACTTCTAACCTACAGAGCTGTAAGTTAATACATGCGTGTTGTTTTAGGCAACTAAGTTTGTGGTAAACTGTTACGACAGCAATGGCAATGAATGCACCCAGTGAGTGAACCCCAGCCCCATTTACCCACCTACATGTAATAAGCATTTATTGGAAGACCTACCATTCATCTGTAGGTTCTGTGGCAGATGAAGAAGAGGCACTGTGGCTAATCACAGAGCCTCTTCTCACCACAGGGCCTTTGCTCCTGCTATTCCCTCTTCCTGGAGCTCTTCTTTCATTTCCTTATTTAACTGTATCTGCCAGACTAGGAAAAGCCTTTCTTAAACCCTTTCAGTCGCTGAAACTTCTCCTTAGAAGCATTTATATCAATTATGATATTTTAAAATGTATGTAATTGTTTTTAACTTTTTCCCTGTGAAATGTAAAAGATACAGAAAACTACATAAAAAGTGTAGCTTCATGGCTTATCAGAAAGTAAATAACATTGACACCACTATTCAGCTTAAGAAATAGAACTTTGCCAATAGACCCTGCAGCTCTACAGAAGGGGCCTCCCTCCAAAAGTCACCACTCTCCTGACATTTATGTTCATCTCTTCCTTGTTTTATTACCTTCCTCCTTTTTTGTTTTATTACCTGAGATCCTCCTTTTTGTTTCATTTTGATATGTCTTTTAAGTTTTTGTTTATCAACAGATTCCTCCTTGGTCTCTTTCCTCTCTTTGCAATTTATTTGTGAACAAACTCAGTTTGTCTGTTCTGTAGAGTTTCCCACAGTCTAGATTTTGCCAGTTGCATCCCCTTGGTGTGTTTAACATGTTCCTCTGTCCTCTGAATCTCCTATAACTGAGAGGGGGCTCTTAAGACTTGATTGGCTTAAGGGCCAATTCCCCCCACCCCTCCAGGGGCACGGGCCAGCAAGACTACTTCATAAGAGGTGATATCTTCCTCCATCAGGAGGTATGTAATGTCTGGTTGTCTCTTTCTTTCATGTTAGTGGTCTTTGATGCTCAACATCTAGATCCATTCATTCATTGTTAAGGGTTGCAAAACAGTGACATTCTATTTTTCTTTCTTTGTTTATTAGCGAGAATATTTCTTTTTTGTGTGTTACTTAACACACAAATTCTCTCAGAATCTTCAGATTCTCTCTCTCTCTCTCTCAAATTTTATTTTATCTGTTTAGTTACTCCAAGACACACTTTGTATTGGAAAGGCAGGATGCTTGATACCTTCCCTTTATTTGTCAGGTTTCAAATGAATGATTAGGCTAACATATTTGTGATTAATTGCTTAGTGTTTTTCTCTCCTCCAACATGTACCCCTAATCCCTATGAGGGCAAAGCCTGGATCACTTTTTATTACCCCAAAACCCCTGGGCTAAATACAGGCCTATGATGTAACTGACACTTGGTAGGTATCTATTGAAAGAATGGATGAGTGAATAGAATAACCTCTCTTCTTTCCTGTCTCTTCTGTTTCACTGCCCCTCCAGTTTATCTTAAATTCTCCCTTAGCTTCATGTAGCTAAACCATGGGTCAAAATGATTTGGATCAAACACATAAAATGAGTGAGGAAGTACCCACAGAGGCATCAAAAGGGGCTGAGATACTGTGGCTCAGAAACAAAAATACTAATTTAGGGCATTTAATGTGAATACCTTGTAAGAGACCCAAATGGGTTTTTAAACAACATCTACTTGATTTTTTTGCTTATCTTCTAAGTGATGTCACCTTAGGGGGCTTCCTAATGAGATCCCTAAGAAGATGTAGCATTATAATGGCTAAGAATTAACTTAGTGTCTTAACAAAAGTGTCTGCCTTTTGAATGGTTCAAAGTGATACCATATTGAATATTAAATTTATCCTTGGAAATACCGTGTGAGGGGCCCAGCCTAAGAGGTATGGGAGGGATAAGGATTATCATTCTCTATTTAAAACAGGCCTAAGACAGTAAAAAGAACTACCAGTGTCTCCTGGGGGTGGGGGTGGGGGTGGGGGTGGGTACAATTAGGGCTAGATTAGGTTCTAAGTAGCTGGTAGAATTTGGACTAGACTGGACCTTAGGACTCATCCAACAGCACCATCTATCTGGCATGTATTGTCACAATAACGCTGAATGACAGAGAGCTGTGAACTTCAGTGGCAACAAAAACAAGCATTTACTGCGCTCATGTTTGGGGTCAACGGCACTGCTAATCTTGGCTGGACTTATTCACATGTCTAAGGATTGGCTAGCAGTTGGCTGACCAAGGCTGACCTTGACTAGGGAACCCAGGGTGACTTGGATTTGCTCCTTGTGTCTCTGCTCTCCCAGGATGTTAGTTTAGAGAGTACATGGAAACACAAATGCCTCACGAGGCCTCCACTTTGAACTAGCACATTGTCACTTCTACTGGCAGTCTATTGGTTAGGCAAGTCATAAGACTAGCCCAGATTCAAGGAGGAGGGACATGGACTCTGCCTCTTAGGTGACAGGAATTGCAAGGTCACTGGACAAAGAATTTGGATTTGGGGTGATGGTGGTGAAGAATTGGGGCGCTTACTGCAATCAGTCAACCACCATGCCATCTCACTTTACAGAGGAGCAAACCGAGGGTCATGGGAGGAACAGTGACATACCCAAGGTCACTCGGTGGAAAGCACACTAGAGCCCAAGACTCAGGCCTCCCCCCTCATGGCCTTCCCTTTGACCCCACAGGCTCCAACTAAAGCCAGAGTGGTGTGATAGGAATTGGCATACATTCAGCAGATAATTCAGCAAGGAAGTGGTGTGCTTTCCTGCTGTGTGTGAAGGACTTAGGGCTCATTCAGGGCTGGAGCGTGTGCTGGGGGCCACCTCCTGATCTCCAAGGCTGGGCCTCGCTCAAGCTCATCTTCATGCAGCATATGGAGCCAAAGGAATGACACCATCCTCAGGGGCAGGTCTTCTGTGCTGAGCCTTTGCTTCACCCCACTCTGAGTGAGAGATGTTATTCCCTGGCAAGACTGGGACCAGGGAAGTTGGGACAAGAAGGCTCCCATTCTGTTCTTCCTCTTCCTAGTCTTTCTCCTTTTGGTTTTCTGCTTCCTCTCCCACCCCCTTTCCAAAACAACTCTTAGGAAAGGTTGGGAGAATATCAAGTCACTTGTACCTGAGTGCGAATTTTAGTCAAAGAATCACTTCTCCCATTTACCCAAAGGTTTGCTTCTGGAAAGTAGAATTCCAGGCAGGTGGAGGAACAGGTTTCCACACCTGTCCTTCCTTGGCATCCTAGAAGTCACACCCGTAGGAGGCCGCTCACTCCCCCAAGACAGGAGACTGCCCCTGGCCTCTAGAATAAAATCCCACATTTTCCTGCTTTGCATAGGGAGGTCACCTTAGTGTCCCTAGAATGATACCCCTTCCCTTACCACCCAACAGGTGGTTTTGGCAAAAGTGGGTTTTTGTACAAGAGTTTCCCTCTGACTCAAGGGGAAAATAACACAGTCGTTTTAGGGGTCTGTTTAGTCTCAAAGGGAAACAACTTACTAATTAGGCTAAGAGTCTTTACAAAAATATGTTTTCGATCCCACTGATGGTCAGTTACAAGCGATAACACTGTTAAATGTAGTGCCTCATAAATCTGGAAAAACTACCCAATAAATGTAAGTAATAACAATGATTAACAATAAATTAAATGCAGAGAACCAGGAATGTACCACATTATTTTTAACTAGTTTGGGCCATCAGGTTCTGATTATTCAGTTTGTCCTGTGCACCTGGAGTTTATTAGCGTGTAATGCAAACTGAACAGTCTCTCAGAGAGGCCACTGAAAGGACTTTGGTATAAAAAATATACAAGTTTAATAGTGGTAACTGACCTTGCTTTCTTTTACAAAAACATGTCTTTGTAACTTGAGCCCCAAGGAAATGTAATGCTTTTTACCTAATCTTGATTGTTAATTTTCCTTTTATTTAACTGAGGTTTCATTTGTTTCATGAGATAGGAAGATACAATTTATAGTCAGTAAATCTTCCTGCTCTGGAAAGCGATTCAAAATGGCTAAATATTTCTTTCTTCTGCCGTGTCTTTTACAAGAAGAGGGAAAAACAGAGAAGCAGTACACTTGCTCTTAATGGCAGCTGGTTAAAACCCACATTTCAAAATAGCCAAATGAAATGGGTACATGTGTTTATCATCAAGGTGCATTGGACTAATTTCCCCTAAGTCTTTAAATATTACTTGTTCTCAAATGCCAGAAAATTGGGCTCTTTCTCAGCTGAGGACAGGAAGGCCATGCGAGGCCCTCTGATGGAGGAACTTTTCTATAATTTCCCTGAATGCTTATCTTGCAGGTGCTGTCTAGCGGGACTACCGTATTTCAAGGACAGAATCTGCCAATTTGAGAAAGTCTCCGTGCGTATACGTCTTTCTCCTTTTGAAGTTTTTCTAAGATATTCTCAGTGTTTTCTAGAAGAAGGAGGCGTTCAGTGTTGTTCGATGGGGGGTTTCTCACTTCTTCCATCCCACGCGTTAGTCCCCAGACTGAATGAATACATTTGCAAGAAACGGAATCTTAACTAGGGTCAACTCCTATAAATGTCTGAAACTTGAGGTGCCCCCAGCAAACATGACGTCTGGCAAATAGTCCATAAAACTCTGCTTTAAAATAATTAAATGAAATGGTCACCAGGGAGGGCAAGAATGGCATGGCCCAGGGGCGTCGACAGAGCATAGACTCTATTTTCTTTAGCCTGCTAATCGGTATGTTGGCCTCAGACCTCCTGTACCCTTCTGGTGGAGCCTCAAATCCCCCATCTCACTGGATAACGGCCTTCGTTTTATAATCAAAACCTTTTTTGTTCAGAAGCTAGTCTTTATCTCAAAAAGACTGAGCGAGTTCAACTTACATTTAGAAGAATTTTGCTCCGGAGGGAGGATGGCTTGGCTTTCTAATCAGAAGGCTCGGGTCAAGCGAAAGGTGGATTGATTTCTCTACCTGTGCTCTGAAGGAGCATCATGTAGCCCAGCTCCCCTCCCCCCCACCCCTTGGCCAGGTGGGAAGGGAGAGGAGGAGGGAGAGAGGGAAGAGATGGCGTTTCTAGATGTGGTGTGCAGGAATCTCCTTGGAAAAACATGCCTGGTTATCCCAGGATGGAACTGAGAAGTGAGTGTAACTCCTCATGAAGACCGCCATCTTCTCCTAAATTGTTGAGTAGAAGGCTAACTACCATTCTCTTGGGATTGCTGGGTGGCAGCTCTGTGCTGGAGGCTAACACGCATCGACATATTTAATCTGCACAGAGGCTCCACGGGTATGCATTATTAACCCCTCCACTTGACATCTCATTGGTTCCCCCGTGAGCTCTCCTACCCTGCTTTGGGGCCAGCAAGATGACAGCCAGTTGAGGTTACTATGGGAAGACACCACTCTGATCCCCTGCTGTGGGGAGCATATTGAATGATGGCCCCTTTGTGGTTTCTCTGGATCCTCCACCAAGTGTGAGCCACACTTCCTGTGAACTGCTCCCAGCCCATGACTGAGTGGGGCTACCCATGAAGGCACAGTCGGAGAGACCCGAGACCCTTCCAACAGGCAATTTTCTTCTGCTTCGAGGAGTACCCATCAGCCTGGCCAAACCTTTCTTGGAACTGCACTGCTGTCTGAGACTTTTTTTAAAAAAGATTTTATTTATTTGTTTATTTGAGAGAGAGTGTGGGCGGGGGGAGGGACAGAGGGAGAAGCAGACTCCCTGCTGAGTGGGGAGCCTGATGCAGGAGTCGATCCCAAGACCCTGAGATCATGACCTGAGCTGAAGGCAGATGCTTAATGGACTGAGCCACCCAGGCGCCCCTGAGACTCTTTCTACCCAACCCTCCTTCCTTTCTTCTCTCCTTCACAGGGAGTCAGATTGGCACTGTAGTCTGGAGGCTCCCCCCACCTTTTTCCTTCCAGGCATCCCCCCTGTCAATAAATCCCTCACAAATCTGGTCCTGTCTTAGCGTCTTCCTCTCAGATGATCCAAAATAATGCACCAGTCAATGTAGCAACAACCACCACCACGGGTAACAATGGGCTTGGACTTGATTTTTTTATTATTCTAGGTCTTATGACAGCCTTGTCAGACTTGAGAGCCCAAGAAGGAAGAAATATTGCCCTTTCTGAGCTGGATATCTCTGTAGGGAGGTCACACCCTGTTTGCTGACTCTAACTTTCTCGGCCTTCTTGGGCACCTGTGGTCATCTACCTGCTGTCCCTTCCTATACTCTGAAACCTGCTTCCAGCTTTGTTCCGGCCATTACTGTCTACCCAAATGGGACCCGACTGCCTTTTCTCTTGCTTATGTTAGAGGGGCTCCTCACAGGAGGACCCTGGCTTTGTATTTCTCAAGCTCTGCTCTGTCCCTCTCTGAATGGAACTTTTCCTTAGTCCTCCAAAGTCTGACTAGAATCTTTCCCTCCCTTTTCAGAATTAGGGAAGCCCCAGTTTTGAAGACTGACATGGACAGGATTGGGAGCCCCAATGAGCAGATTCAAACCCCAGCTCTGTGACTTAACTGCTGTGTGATCTTGGCAAGTTACTTAACCTCTCTGAGCTTCGGTTTCTTTATTTGTCAAATAACGATAATACTACCTAACTTGTAGGGTTCTTGTAAGGACTACATGAGGTATTTAATGCAATGCGCTCAGCTCATAGCCTAATACATATAAGTGCTCTTGTGGTTAGAGCTGTTAAGTTATTATCTAACTAGTATGTCTGGGGATCAAAGGTAAGAGTCCTAATCACTCTTTCCCCTAGTTGTATAGTTTAATTTCTTTCTAAGGAAAAAATCAGAGGGGTTGCTTACTAAATAGTGATAAGGATCTCCATATTTAGAATCACAGTTTCTTCCCTGGGATTTGAGGGCTTGGGGGTGAGCCTCTTCACTGAAGTCCTGAGGAAATCTTGGCAGTTTGAATGTAATCTTCAATTTTCATTGTTGTGCAATCCTCTCAAAGAGAGACTGTGGAGGAGGGAAAGAACTCCACGCTGAATAGCTTGCTCCTGGGAAGGACTGGAAGCATCTTTGTGGTCCTCCAAAGAAGACAAAAACAGCACTGCACTTTCCCTCACCAGATTTTGGGAGGGATCGAACACATTCCTTTCGAAATTTGGTAAGCTTCCCAGGCAAAGAGGGTATACACTTGCCCATAAGACAGAGGACGGTTTTGAGACTTGGCTGTCTCCCCCGTTTGCTCTTTCACAGCCCAGTTTCATGTTGCCTTGCAGCCAATAAAACAATCACGGCGAGATGATTCGGTCTCGGTCCGTAAGTCAGGAAAGCCTCCGTACCATCAGTGATGGAGGGTAATGCACTCCAGGTTTAACTGTGAGTGACGCTGGATGGGAACCGGGTCCTGGGCTCCTACTGGAGTTGCCCAGCTGTTCTTCCATCCTGCATCCAGAAAGCCGATCACAAGTATCTCTGGCTCATCTGTGCATTCTTGATTCTGCCTCCAACATGTTATTTCTAATTCCCCTGATGGCCTCAGTGAAAGTTCCCGGCAGAGATTGATTGCAGGGCACGACCCAAATTTGTAACTGGCCACAAAACACTGTAAAACAAAGTTCACCGAATACCTTCCAGCTGATTGTAAGTGATTTTCAAAAAAAGATCTGGATACGTTTTTCTTCTGCTTCGTTTTTTTTTTTTTTCTTTTGCCACATAAAATACCGGAAAAGGAAGACTTTTTGCCAAGCGCTGAGTTTTGTAACATCATCTGTAAAACATGCCTGTGACAACACGGATGGCGAGAGGCTGCTCGTGGCGGCCGATGGGCCTCGCGGGGAGGGTTTTGTTTGCTAAGATATCACTGGTAACAGACCTCGAGGGCAGGGAGGAGGTGTGGCAAGGGAGGTGAGAGACCGGGGTTCTAGAACATCTTGGAAGTTTTCTTACCCTCCCCCCAGGGCGTTCTCCTCATTTGCAAAATGCGCAAGAGCACTTTCGAAGCTACGTATTTGCAGAACCTTGGAACTCTTTCCTGAAAATGGAACAAGAGATGGCTTTTCCAAATCTGCAGAATATCATTAGATTACTTGAGAGAAGCTTCCTGACTTCAAGCTTTTGCCCACACCTCTCTCTCATGCCTCCGACACCTGCTTACCTGCTTCAAGTGAGCCAGCAACAAAAATGCTAATGAAAAAAATGAAGTGTGGCCTTGGAGAAAGAATTTACTTTCCTACGGTGTCCCAGATGCGTGTAGCTTAGTCATATTATTGTCAGTGAACTCGTTCCTGGCACGGGCCCCTCACGCTTTTCTCACACTATGGAATGGACTACGTCGGAATGTATTTGCTCTAGGAATCAGGCACGTCTGGGCTTGCGGGGGAGGCTGTGGACTGTTCCCTCCCAAGCTCTGTTTTATGAGGCACTGAAGAGCTGCTGGTTACAATTTGTCCTAAGAAAGAGAGAGTGAGAACCGTGAGTGAGGGCCAAAGCGCCAGTGCTGGGGAAGGCACGGAAGCCTCTCTTTTAGATGGTCTCTTCCCTCCACCTCCATAATCCTATCCTTGTGTTCCCAGGCAGGGGGCTCCCTAGAAACTGGAGGCAGCAAACAGCCAAGGCCTCAGTGACATTTGTGCGAGGGAGTTAGCGACCTCAGGAGAATGGGTCATTGATATCACCCCCTGCAGCAGCAGAGTTGGGGCGGACTCTGGCTCTTTTCAGTGGCACTGGGACCTTCGAATCGAGTGCCATCGGGGCTGGCAACACCATCACCATGCCCATCAGAAGTCGCACTGATGATGTCCCCGAAGAGAAAACGAGCTGATCCACTGCGACGTGGCCTGGGCTGGGGGCACACGGAAGCAGTTACTCTGTCCTGTGGACAAGAGGGAGCCATTGGGAGCTTCGGAAAGAGGTACTCTTGGTTAAAATTGGTCTTCTGGATGATGTTCTGGCCTGCTATGGACAGCCAAATGGAGGGTCAGAGAAGGCTGGAGGCAGGGAGACCAGTTCGGAGGCTGTGTATAATAGTCTACTTTAGAGATTCATATGAAAGGCCTACGCTAGGCAGAGGTTTAGAGGGGGCCCATCTGAAAACTTGAGCAGACAAAATGGTCCAGCTGAAGGAGTGTCTAACCTAATCTCCAGAGGGCATCTTTTTTTTTTTTTTAAAGATTTTATTTATTCATTCGACAGAGAGACACACAGAGAGAGGGAACACAAGCGGGGAAGTGGGAGAGGGAGAAGCAGGCTTCCCACAGAGCAGGGAGCCCAATGCGGGGCTCGATCCCAGGACCCTGGGATCAAGACCTGAGCCGAAGGCAGACGCCTAACCGACTGACTGAGCCACTCAGGCGCCCCTCCAGAGGGCATCTTTATCCAAGTGAGTCATGGGACTCATACTGCCAGGGTTTGTGCCATGCATCCAGGGAGATAAGCCAGAGCCAATTGGATAGTCGTCAAGGACCTGAGCAAACTGCTGCAAACCCAGGCCCCCTCCCTGTCCTAAGTGCCAAGCTGCCTGCCCTTTGGGCCTTTAGATTAGAAGGAATGAGAGATGGGGCAGAAGTGGCCTGGGATGAATAGGCTGTGGTTTGTTGTGGTCTCCTGGGAAATCACTGGGGCCTTCTTTGAGGTAGAAGGTGCCAGAACTAGTATAGAAACCAGGGATCCAGCTTCTGTGCAAACCTTGTCTTCCTTTCAGCTGGTACCCTCATTAAATGGAAGTAAGCATAGGGTAGACTTTGCCTGAGCGGATTTTCCTGGAGCTAGGAGCTTAACATCCCAGTCATAAGCACTGATATAATCCCAGCTATCTCATTTCTTTTTATCTCTTAATTTTGGGATAAAGGATTATTCTTTCTTAAAATTTAATTTAACTTAATTTTTTAATTTTTTTTTAAAGATTTATTTATTTATTTGGGGGGCGGGGAGGAGAGGGACAGAAGGAGAGAGAATCCCAAGCAGACTCCCGCACTGAGCGCAGAGCCTGACACAGGGCTCGATCCCATGACCCTGAGATCACAGCCTGAGCCAAAACCAAGAGTTGGACACTTAACCGACTGCACCAGCCAGGTGCCCCAAGGGTTTTGGTTTTTTTTACAGCCAGATGACTATAAAATGAAGTTATATGGACAAAAATTGAGGCCTAGAGTTTGGTAGAAAGAACTGTGGGCAGGCAGGAAGCCAAGAGACCTGAGTCCTTCCACTGACTAGCTGCACTGACTTGGGCCTCGGTTTGCTCCTCTGTACAATGGGAGTTTGGACTTGGAGATAGAGAAGTCCCCTTTCAGCTTACACTCTCTAAGTTTTAACTGCAAGGCAGGAGAATTCCCTGCTTATGGTTAAAGAGCAATGAATTTACCATTTCAGGTCTTTCCGGTGAGAAAATCTAAGGAGAGTTTAAGAACTCAGGTTCTGGGGTTAGAACTTCACTCTGTAATGAAGTGTTTTGGCCTTGGGCAAGTTCCTTAACCTGTCCGTGCTTTCCTGTCCTCTTTTGTGAAGTAGGGGCCAGCATATGTACTTTGGGGATTGAGGTAGTTCCTCGAGCACAGGGTGTGGCACACGTGAAACCCTCAAGGGCTGATGGGGCATGGCATAGCGCTGGTGTTGAATTTGCCCTTTTGATGTGGAGCAGGGCGTCCTGATGCCCGATCCTGCATCAGGAGGTAGTTAGCAGCACCTCTCACATCCCGCCCTCCCCCGGTGGAGTTGGTTCATCATCCGTGGGGCAGTCCTCTTTGTCCTCTGCAAAAGGAAGCTCGCCACAGGGGGCCTATAGAACTTCTGAGCAAGAAAGATAACATACCACTTTCCTTTTATTATTAAAGAACCAGGACATGTGTACTGATAGGATCAGAAAATACAGACAGGAATTGAGAGACGAAGGAAGCATATACCCACTGTGATAAGCCAAATAATTCTTTCTTCTTCCCCCAAAGAACCCATGCCCTAATGCCCAGAAGCCAGGAATGTGTTGTCTTATGTAGTGAAAAGGGGCCTGGTAAACATGGATAAGTTAAAGATCTTGAGATAGGACATTACCCTGGATTATCTGGTGGGCTAGATATCATCACAAGGGTCACTATAAGAGGGAGGCAGAATGGCCAGATTCAGAGAGGGCAACGTGACAATAAAGCAA